AAAAAATCTTTCATTCCTTTAGAGACAGCATGAAAAGTCAGCTGAGTACAAAACATAGAGAGGAAAACAAGAAGAAAAGGGACAAGAAGAGAGGGACACAACCTAGAACAGATCATGGATGTCTATTCTATTAACATTTATCTATCTGGAGAATGAGGCTGTTTTATGTCTTCTCAGTTTAGAGGGGCCCCTGCCTGTCTTTGCCTAGGGCCCTACATTTCCTCAATCCGCCCCTGCACAGCTGCAGAATGTCTTCCTGATTCCATATTCTGTATTAATAATGGACCTGTTCATGGAAATATGTCAGATTATAGCTAATCTCCATCTGTAATCCTTTCCAACTGGATGCAGTCAGTTGCTTCTCCACCAAAGACTGAAGCAGGTCTTCCTGCTTTAAGTCCTGAAGATGAATTTAGAAACAAGTTTGACATGAAATCAGCAGCAGGAATCTGAAGTTGGCTTCTGAATCGGGAAATTATTAAAGGCAGATTCTGCCTTCAGCATCTTTAATCTGCTCTAATTAAAAAACAACAACATCTAGACAAATCTAACCAGGACTGGATTATTCTGAACTACTTGTAGAATTATTTAAACCAGGTCTCTGATTTATGAAACTTCAATTAAAAACCTATTTTAAAACTTTTTTCAGCTTTTTCTAGCTCTAAAACATCTAGACACCTCTGATCCTTTGATTCTCTCTTTAAACCAAAATGATGTAAATCTGTTTTGTTTAAAACTTGTAGATAATTTTTAACATTTCTATTTGATTAAAAACCCTGATTGTTGGAACTGTAACCACATTCTATATTCACATCTCTTTCTTTTTTCTCCAGGCTAGAGAAAAACCTAGAACTGCACTTTAAGAACTTTTTCTTGTTTTCACTTGTGTGAAGAAAAAGAATAAATAAAATCTATAAATAAGATTTCATTTTATTCATTAAAAAATCTTTTTAATTCCAACCTCAGTTGAACCTTCAGAAATGATCGTAATTAACCGTTAATTAACCCACCGGTCCGGTTCGGTTCGGTTACCTTGATCTTCCGCTCCGGTGTCTGGATCAGCAGCCGACAGCTGAGCGAACAGAACCGTCAGCAGAACCGGGACAGTCCAGCGCATCATTGGAGCCGCAGCGCCTCCTGGATGAAGGTCCAGAACCACCGAGGAACCCTGAGCTTTGGGTCCGGAGGAAAGAGCGCAGCTTCCGGGAGGACAGGCTGGGTCCGAACCTAAAGAAAAAGGCACCAAAGAACGAAGCAGTCCGACACGAACCGAACAGAAACTAACAGTCAGCCGCACGAGCTCACAGCTGGAAACCCACAGGCGCGCGCTCAGCCTGCAGGCGGGCACGAGCTCACAGCTGGAAACCCACAGGCGCGCGCGCGACCAGAGGGAGTTACGTTCAGGAGACAGGATCCAGATGAAAACTTGGTTTTATGATCAGGTTCTGGTTCCTGTGGTTCCGGTCCAACAGCTGCTGGTCTAAGGAGCCTTCAGGTCCAGTTCTTCTTCCCAGGATCCATTTTCCTCCTTGAGTGGAAAACATCCTGAAACATTTAGAACCTCCCAGGATCCAAACTGGATCAGAACAAATGGACTTTTTATGGGATCTACTGCCTCATGATGACCTTCTGCTTCTGGATGTTTCCTGGGAGCCTCTGGAGGCTGGAAACCAGCTGCTCTGCTCCACATGGATGAAAGCAGTTTTTCTTCTTTATTCAGAAACACCAGCTTCATTAAATATTCCTAATGCAGCAGGTTAAATAATAATTGATATTAAATAATAAATATTTCTCAGGAACCTGCAGGATTATCAACATTCATCCACCAACATTCTGCTCTGATTAAAGATGTCACTTTCAGATCAGGATTAATAAAGAATTCACTGAACTGAAAACACAGAAACCACCAGATAACAAGGAATAAAAATAACATTTTATTTTTCTGCTTTTCTTTTAATCAGATCAAAATGCTTGTTTGTTATTTTGATAAAGAGAAAACAGCGATAATGGATCATTGTTTGTTCTTCTAGACCTGAATAAACGGAGGCTGAACTTCTGAGGTTTTCTGTGGCTCAGACAGAAAAGATGTAAACAGCATGGCCTTTAATTAGCTGTTTGGTGTCATTATGACCTCCCCCAGGAGAGGGGGGGGCGCAGGCTGTAATGAAGCTGCTTCTCTGACCAGAATCCTCAAACTGCAGCGTTCTCACTGGGTGTAATCTCAGCAGGTTATGGGACACGTCAGTGTTTGGTAGGAAAGTTAGAGGAAAGTATCGGGGCAGCGCTAAGTGTTGGAATCATCACTTCAATAATCAGTAACGATCCAAACTGATCCCCCGCTGCTTCCTGATGATGTCAGGAGAAAGTCCTTCTGATGTTCCACTGAAACATGGAGCAGCTGAAAGGAGACAAACACTGAAAAGATGAAGCAGATGTTTTATTTGACTGAAGGAACAGGAAGAAGGAAGTTTAGTTAGAGGAATCATTTCCTGCAGCGTCTCCGTCTGAACCTTCCAGACGAGGAATGAAGGATTCATCAGCTGATCAGCGGAGGCTTGTGAGGACCTAAATGCAGAGATCAGGAGGCAGAAGTGAAACTTGTAGATTTAATGACAAAACTGAGACACAATTAAAAATACAAGAACTAAACGACTAGAAAACATCAGAGAAACTCACCTGGGAAGCCAGAGATGAGGAAGCAACTAAACAACAAACCAGCACTGAGTGACTGCAGAGACTGAACCAAGACGGGCTGATCAGCAGATTGGGAGCAGGTGTGGGAAAGACCACCTGAGGAAGCCAAGGGAAAGGAAATGAGCACAAGGGGGCGACAGAGAGTAACTAAAGAAGATCTAGAAATCAACTACAATGAAACACAACACAAAGAAACTAAAAATAAACCAAGATGTTTCAGAGAAAACTTAAACCTTAATTCATGAAATAAATGTGGTCATGTGACGGTGATGCAGCAACGTGTGGTTGTTTTCCATCTGATATTAACTGTAGCAATAATATCAGCAGACGTCCATCGGGGCCCAAATGTCCACATCAGTGCATCGTTTCCATAACGAAGGCTTCTGTTAGAATAAAGTGCAGAAAGTTTGTCCCTTTTCTGCTTTTAACACGTTACCAACAGTAAAGGTTTTAAAGTCTGAGGTTTCAATCTTTGGAGACTTGTTAGGGGTTAAAGGAGGAGGAGTTAAATAAAACTCTCACTATCAAACCCTGCAGAAGAAGAAAGTCTAACCAGAAAAGCAAAGCAAAGAGGCTGAGCTGCTGCAGTCTGAAGCTCCAGGTGCTTTAGGTTCATTTCTCTGATGTTTTAGGATAAAGGTGGGAAATTAACAGGCTGTTAGTCAGGAATCCAGAGCTGCTTACGGTGAACAGCAGAAATGTCAGACATCTGAGTCGGTACGTCCCAAACAGAACCAGACCGAACCGCCACGTTCAGTATGAACGCCACGGCGCCAACAGGGGTTCAACGTTCCAACTTCCACTGATTTTAGCAGATATTTATATCTAACATTCACTCCTCTAAAGAACTCTCAGTTTAGGTTGATTTTGGCTCCCCCAGTGGACAAAAGCTGAAGGAAGACAGGATTTCCCACGAGGAGCAGCGCTCAGGGTGGTAAATATCCTAATCTCCCCGCCTGCTGCTGGACTGATCTACATTTGTGTTTCTAGAAGCTGAGGGATGAATAGCGTTGAGGTTATGAATCTAACTTTGGTGGAATAACGTCGTATGACCATGCTGAAAATAGGAAAAGTTTAACTTTGTTTTTGTACCACTGAAAACATTCATTAGAAACTCTTTGAGTTGACTCTTAAACCCCTTTAGTGTTTGCAAAGCTGTTAGATATTATAATACTTTAATAGGGATTATAAGACAATAAAGGAATGAATATTTGAACCTTTGGTCGTCTGTGATTATCGATATTGTGAATGATTTATCACTCAGAACAGATTGACCCTTTTTGGTTAATTTCTTTAGGTTGGTGATTAATAACTCTGCTGACAGCCAGAGTCTCATTACTGAAAGATAACTGGATTGAAACAGTCGGTCCAGGAGTCCAACCTTTAGGTAAAAGACCAAAGAACGTTGGTGAGCGAGAAAACTACAGCTATAATCATTTAACTAATACCATTAATAGCTATTAACCTCGATTTGAGTGACCTATTAACCTGATTGACCTATTATTTCCAGACACAAGATTCACAACGTAAAATATATCTGATTCAATAAAATATGTTTTAACAAGAGAAGTTAAGATAAACCGTAGAAGGAATCCGTTCTTGGCCTGAACTTAAGCTGATAAAGTTCAAAGATAAACTAATCTAATGCTGTGGGAACATTTGGCCACAGAAACAGACAGAAACCAGGCAAAGATCACGACTTCTGGACAAATTCTGGCTACAAAAAGTGTTTTATACAAACAGATGAACTGGATATAGGAGCGACAGTGGCCCCCAGCTCTGATGGTGGTCACAGGGCCCGGTGGCGCCCTGCCCCAGGCCAGCGGCGGCTGCAGCTCTCCACCATCACTGTGGTTCTTTGG